GTCCCGTTTCACGAAATCACATCCACAAATTGCAGAAAAGCGAGAGGAAAGATGTTACACATCAAGAAAAAACTATTGAAACTTACGTAAAAAGTAGAACAATAGACCGTGGCAGTTGGAGTAGAAGCGTTAAACAATAATAAACAAAGTTTAACTTAATTTACCACTGTACTAATATCGTGGTTTAAGTGTTAATAACCCTATCGGCAATTATCAGAACATCGTCAATGAACCTTGCTTCGCTTCAGCGAATCTTAAGTGAAAGTGGCAGTTTGATACTTAAGTCTGTTTAGCACAAACTTTACTGTGTTTTTCATCTCTATATTAGATTTTAGATTCGTTATGCCGTAGAAATGGTCATAAAAAATAAGTTTTATTTGCATATCAAATGAAGATTTATAATGTGACCGTATAAATTGTTGTTAGAAACGTTTGTACTTACTGTTTATGCACATTGAAGATTTCACTAAATGCCTTGAAACAAAGCTAGTAGAGAGACGCTGTTAATTATCCGATAGGAGTGTAAAACGTACATATTATATTTATGTTTATTAAAAGTAAGTAATTAGGTAGGCAGTACGACACTCGGTTTGGTCAGATTTTTAAACGCTATAAGATTTCATACTTAGTCGACAAGACACATCGCACCTTTAGAATTGAAGTGACCTAATCCCAAATTCTTGTTTTTTGGTAAACGCTAAAAATGTGATTGACAAGTTGGCCATTTTTTGTTTTTTTATTATAATGCGTTTATTATCATTTTTTTATTGTTAATAGTAGCATAGGAATTGTTTTCACGATTGTTTATCAAACCAGTCTATATTACTTATTGGACCCTTTGTTAATTAATCATCAAAAAAAACATGTCACTTATTTTCCGAAAACAGTTTATTATAATTGGCTTAATTCACTTTGTGCCCGTTTTTTACTAAACAACATAAAACAAAAGCCTTACTATTTAATATAGAGGCGATTCATTTCTAATGTTATTTATTTGATAGATGACCAATTTTGTAATATGCTAGTTTAATAATTAATGATTTTTTAAATTAAAGGAAAATGAAATAAAGGTCCACGCAACATTGAATGGGGTACTTCAATACTGAGGGAGGCGCGGTATGCGTGTCATTTAAAAGAGACGGAAATAGTACGTTTGTCTTCTTCTGACCTAAAAGAGCCTGTTTATTATTAATAAACTGATAGAATACATGTTTTATGTCGTTTCACGTTTAAAAATCATTTTGCTATTTTTTTTATTTAAGTCACTTTAATTCTAAAGGTGCGACATGTTTTCTTTAATTTGAAACACAAAGGTTGGTTGTCCGCATTATTGAAGCTTATTGTAAACCTTATATATTGATTAAACTCTTCTTGCGCAACCTCGCGTCGCGTAAGTTTTCCTGATATACTTTGCACAGCTGTGAATACAATTTATCTACAGAGAGTCGGGATCTGCTGCACATCTACTTCCCATAGTTTACGTTTTTTCGTGTCGGATTTAGTATTCGGATGGGATAGAATTTTTAGCCGACTTGATTTATGATGTGCTTTCGGAAGGTATTTTCTACCTGAACAATGAAATGAAAACGAAATCCTTTTTTTAAACAAACTTTTATTTGAACGCGACTGCAAAAATGGAGTGCATTTTTTGTTCGATGTAATAACAATTAGAAAAGCATTTACTCAAAAGTTGTTATTTTTTTTTATATTTTCCGAATGTGCTCATCAATAACTTGATTGAGTTGGGGATCGAACCCTATTATATTATTTTAATTTGAATAAACCTTTCTTTTGGCTACGTACCTCTGACAAACTATTTTCATAAATTTATTACTATTCTAACGCTATTAAAATACATCGAAAACCGTTAAAGGATTATATTTCAAAGTTATTAACAATAGAGTAAAAAACTCCCAAAATAAGAATGACTACTAACTGAATGTACTAATAATTCATTGAAATTAAATTATAATATTTTGAATACCATCGCGTTTTAAAAATTACCATCTATGTAAAGATGTTTTAAGATATATCAATTAATCTACATAGAAATATGGCTTCTCTGTAATAACACTCAAATCTGAATTTAAAAACAAAACGTTTTCGGATATTTTTGGTCTTGTTAAAAAGTGATCTATTATAAACTAAAAATCAATGAAATAAATTACGAACAAAGTGTATATTTTGTTATAAATTAATAGTACCTATTGCAATTACCTATTACGAAACAATAATTAGAATAGTCTTTTTGTTTTTTTACTCGTGATTAACGAAATTGATTGTTGATGCAATAAAAGTACTCCTTATTTCTTGGTTCAATTACACAAAAACGACGTTATGCCATTGCAAGTTTAAAGTGTGCTGATCAAGCATATCGCCTGCTTGTTGGTAAACGGACACTAAAGGTGTTGACCTGATTATTCCCTGCTGCATAATCATCCCCTACTCCATTCACTCTAAAAACGTCGGGATTAACTAAAGGACGATTCCGCCATAGACGATTTTCGAATTTAATTATGAAATCGCATTATTTCTTACTTAATTGATTGAACAGTGCAATAACAGTCTTAATTTAATAAAATAATATATTTCTTTAATTTTTGGCGCGCTTGGATTTTTTTTCTTTCGATGAACTGGTATAAATATCAAAATCATACAAGACAAAACTGGCGTGAGACAGCTTTACTGACAGTTTAAGATGATGTTTTGCTGGCTCAACATTAAGTGGCGATATTAGTTATTCTTATTTGCCAAAAAACATAAGTATTTGTTTCTATTTTTCAAGCATCATTGAATGAAAGAAAATACTGTTAAATTGTTGCACCGGCGATACAAAAGAGATAAAAGTTCATGTTTTTCACTGAAATAAAGTGCCAACATTTTGAAACTTTGTAAAAGTAAGAAGATATCAAAAGCAAACATAAATCAATTATTTTTAATAGTGTAATGTTAGTTGAATTGAAATAAACGTTACATTGGTTTGCGGGTGCAGTTTTTTCAAGTAACGTTGTTGTGCAAGTTATTGTATATTTTATTGTTTTGACATGCTTATAATAATATATGTTGGATATGATTGATAATACATTCAATATGTATGTATACAGCTTTTTTAAGTCAAAGCGATATGGACGTATATCGATGGTATACACACATTTCACTGGAATCGTGAATGACATACCGGACCTCCAACTTCGCGAGTTCAGAGTTTATCCGATCGCAAAGGCTATACAGAGCAATCCGGTCCAACTCAGGGAATATGGACAAACCGTGTCCCTGTAGTGGATCAGGGCCCATGTCGGTGTGGTCGGGAACGAGAGGGCGGATTCACTGGTGCAGGAGGCGGCTATCGGTTTGAAAAGAAGGTCGCACTATGTCGAATGCCACATCTCTTTTATCAAGCGACGTTTTCGCGCCGAGATAAATGTAGAATGGGGCAGACAATATAGTAGCGAAAGCACGACGGCCACAACGATAGTAAGAAAGATTAAGATTTATAGGATTGCTGCTCAAGATCCTCACCGGACAAGGAGGTTTTACTGCTTACCTCCATAGATTTAAAAAAGGGTACCCCAAGCTTTATATGCGACCCAAGCGCAGAGGATGACATCTTCCATGTCATTATAGAATGCCCTCTGTACGGAACACACAGACACACACTACAGACACGCATATACACAAAAATTATGGAAAATAAAAAAAGAAAGAAAGGCATTTCTAGAATTTAGTAAAAAAGTGGTACAAAAAGTTATTGAAAGGAATAAAGACTAGAAAATGTAAACGTTAAATATAAGTAACATATAGATGTACCTTACAAAGATATAGAAAAAGAAACTTATATAGAAATAAGATGTTAAGTTAAGAAAGATGAAACAAAAATTATATAAAATAGTATTAAGGAAGTAAAATTGTAAAATAAACTAACTAAACAAAATGCAAGACTATAAGATAGATGAATAAAAAAAATATGATGGAAAAAGATTTGAGCGCTCAAAAAACAAAAACATAAAAAGCACACATTGAGGGAAAAAACTAAAAAGAAAGAAAAAAGTCCTGTTAAAAAACGGGGGTAGCTGAATAAAAAAATACTTAGCGAGTAGGAAGCGCAAAAAAAAACTTATGAAAATAATACTAACGTTATATGGAATTTTCGGCATAATGAAATCATTTAGGAAGAATAATAATTTGAGAAGAAATAATGAATAAAAGTTACATACTACTAATTAGTTATCCAAATAGTTTGATCTCTTATTTTGCTGCAATATACGATTTTATTGATGTTTAATATTCACTTAAATAAGACGGGTTGCACCCGTGATAATTTGATGTTGCTCCCATTATTGCTTCAAAAGCGAATAATTTAATGTTTATTTTTGTTATTCATTATATTATTTTATTTTTCAATTGATTGGTTTAACGCATTACTACATAACAAAGCATAACTTAACAAACCCTTCACAATTAACAGACATGTGTTTCTGCCTTATAATCCAGGAAGGTAGGTCCGATTCTGTTGCACCTGGGATAGTACTTTGAACCTTCCTTCTCACTATACATTTATCAAAATAAAATTCTTGTAAACGAATATATTGTGAACATGTTAAAATAAAAATCTTCTAAGGAACTAAAGGAACTTTATATGCGTCTGAATGTTGCACCCGCGATAATAGAATCGCCCTAAAGTCTATTCTATTACATTTGTTCATTATATTAATTTATAATATTTACGTACTTTGTGAGTCTCCGATGTAACTAACATTAACAGGTATTCAGTGATCATGGCGCTTGCGAAGTAACTAACACTAATTGCTACTTCGTGATCACGCTTGCAACAGTAAGGAAATGTGGGAGACTCACTAAAACAAGGTCCAGACATGGTAATAATCCCGTAAACAACATTAATTTCAGCAATGTTATTGATCATGAAATCATAAAACAATATATGTTCAATTTGTTCAGCTTTTCCATTGGTATTAAATATTTGATAATGCTGTATTTTCCAGGACTCTGAACTGTCTGTGTTCGAGACGACGATCCGTTTCGTGGGTGGTCTGCTGTCGTGCTTCTCTCTCACCGGGGACACGATGTTCAAAGACAAGGCGGCGGAGGTCGCAGATGCTCTGCTGCCAGCGTTCGAATCACCCACGGGATTGCCCTACTCCTTGATCAACCCATCTACTAAGGTTTATTGTGTTCCTTTAATATCTAAACATTTACCTGCAGTTTGTTCCGTATAAGTGTACTTACGTATTAAAGTTAGCTTTAGTTTTTTAATTGTTATTACAAAATTCAGACCTTGTCAACAAAAATCGTTGGTTAAGTGGCAGAAAGTATTATGTTACTTTATTAGTTTCACTTGCATCGTGGTTTCATAACCATACGAATTTTTGTTGGATTTCTGGCTAAAACGAAATCCATTACCTGCATAACTTCTGCTATTTAAATTTTGTTCTAAAGTTTTAATGAGGTAAATTCAAAAATAAGATACAGCCCATATATTTAATTAGTAGCGAATCTTACTCAGATAGCGAAAACACGTAAACAATGATATCACATACAAATAATCAAAATTTTGTCTTAACGGAAATGTATCGATAAGATTAAAAAACAATTGGCTTGACATGTATTATTAATTTTAATGTAGGATATATTACATTAAAGGTCGACTTAATATCTACTATTAATTCATTATGTTAGGATATTGATAATAATTATAATCAAGTCTATAAAAAATAACGGTGAAATGATTTGCAATTTTTAATATATTATATCTATTCAAATATTAGAAAAATCACGGAATAAAAATATGCAAAAAATTTATTTTAAAATAAATTGATTTTAGAATTCCGCCAACACGTCACGCATTTGCAAAGCTTATTAATTTAGCAGAAATGTAGTACTGTTCTATAAGGTACAAATAAGCTCACTATGGGACTTATACATATTTGGTCTAACATTTCTTTGAAGTTTAGTACTTATAAGTAATTTGAGTTGCAGAACGTATACGAATTAAATTCAAACCTTCTTCTCAAAATTTCTTTCTATGTAAAGATACCATAAATTGAATTTAAAATTGCGTTCAGGCGGACATTCTTGTATTTAAATATACGCTACTTATTTTTAAATACTAGAATTTCCTACTGAATTTCGTGCATTCGGAGTTCTCGCGGAGCAGAGGCAACGAATAGTTACTTACATTAACTTGAATGAGAAGATTGGAACTATTGGAAGTTCCGTGCCGCAAGCGTTAACTTAGGTATTTACTTTTGTAATCACAACGAAATTATATTAAACCATAATGAAGTTTGCGTCTTTCAGCAGTTATCTTTGAGTCACACTGAAGGCAACATTAAAGAATTAAAGACGATCGTTACCTTTTTTATTTCGATACGATCTGCATATAAACCAAGTAGTCTCTTCTATACTGAGGCATAAAAAAATGTTAGTTTAATAATAGAATAATGATTTCAGGTGACCAGGACTTACCACTGGGCGGGGCCTAATAGTATTCTCTCCGAGGTGGGCACCTTGCACCTCGAGTTCACGTATCTCAGTGACGTCACGGGGAAAAATGGTATATTTTCTTCTTCAATATTAAAATAAAAAGTATGGCTTTGCAAAATAGATACATTTTCCAAAAATACTGTTCACTCTTGATTTATAGATAGAATCAACTTATCAAGATGTATTCCGAACACTAGACTTTTCTACATTACAAAAAAAAATGTTTTAATTATAACAATATTCAAAAGAAAAACAAAATATTTATAACATTGTTTTGCAGCTATGGAAAATTAAATATTCTTTTAAATTTCAAATTACAACATTTAATAATTTACTGAAAGGTTACATCTATACGATACTTTTGTTTTAATTCACGTGAGTCATAAATCTTTTATTACTTTTTTCAGTGTACAGAGAGAAGGTTGAACGCATCCGTGATGTTTTGAACAACATCGAGAAACCCAACGACTTGTATCCTAACTTCATCAACCTACGGACCGGCCAATGGGGACAAAGTAAGTTCAACCATATTCCTACTGGCCAAGATCGAATATTCAATATACGGTTAAATATGCATAGTTACGCCACTGTTTGTATACATAGAGCAACTGGCCACCTTAAATAAAAATAGTTAACAATATTTCTATTTATTAATTTATTTATCATTTGTATTTATATTTTGACCCTTTTTGCATATTTCATGTTTATATTGCCATGAATTTAACTCGTTTTTTTATAACGCCCCAATCTCTGTAGCATGAGCACCGCGATACGATATATATCACATTTTTATCGTATCTTACTGTCTAGTGTTTTCCCAATAAAGTGAGATAAAAATGTCATACAGTTCATATCGTCGTGATGATACAAGTGGGAGAGGTATAGACTCGGCGTCTAAAAATTACACCTTCGCGAAAATAACTTTAAAGCGTTATTATAACCCTTAACACACGCATTTACCCCCACCAACACTGGTGTCATTTCAATGTACATTGTTTCGTGTTTCATTAAAGATATTTTATTTCTATAATTATTAATGCGATTCCAGGGCACATATCTCTCGGTGCTTTAGGCGACTCCTTCTATGAGTACTTGCTGAAGGCATGGCTTATGTCCGGCAAGACTGATGACCAGGCGCGTGTAATGTTCGACGCCGCCATGCAGGCCGCGCTCGACCGCATGCTGCGCCACTCGCCCGGAGGACTCGCCTACCTCGCCGACGTGAAGTACGGCCGCGTAGTAGAGGAGAAGATGGACCACCTGGCCTGCTTCGCCGGTCAGTACTGCGTTTTGTTTTTTTTTTATAGGTAGCATCGACAAATGTTGCCTCCCCACCTGATGTTAAGTGAAGGTGAAGTCCATACGTGAAGCTGATACAGCAATTCTATCTGCCACACCAGCCATCCTCTGGATTTAATCATATAGTTTACAACACTGGTGTAGATTCTGGTATGATTCTCTGGACCTTAAATTTAATTAGTCAACAGTGTAACCTTGTTATTCTCTAAGAATAAGAGGAAAGACTGATAATAAATTTGGTTTTAAGTTTAGAGAGCCATTTCAATATCGACACCACTGTCACTGCTCCCACCCACTGTCATATACTGACGCTGATGAGTTTTGATTTCCTTATATGGCAACACTGGTGTAGATTCTGGCATGATTCTCAACTTGAAACTAAATTGAAAATTAAAAACCACTTTAGACGACCTCCGTGGCCGAGTGGTTTGTACGCCGGGTTTCATGGCTGTCGCCGACTCGAGAGGTCCCGGGTTCGAATCCCGGTGGGGGCAGATGTTTGTGTGATGAATACGAGCATTTGTACTCCAGTCATGGATGTTTAATATGTATTTATATAAATATACTTATATATGTACAGTATATGTATTCTATCCGTTACCCTAGCATCCCATAACACAAGCCTTATAGTGCTTACTTTGGGGCTAGGCTAATTGGTGTGAGTGTCAGAAATATTTATTATTATTACTTTTAGAGAATCATGCTAGAATCGACAACACTGTCCCCGCCCCTGCCAATCTAATGTCATAAGGCTGATTTACACTTCGGTAATTACAGTAGGTAGCGAGTTCCCCTAAGGGAACTCGCTACCTACTTGTCTTGGCGAGTCAAGTTCTTATCATCGTTTTGACAGGGATTTGCCAGTTAAGTACATACTGCTTACTGTACTACCTACCATAATGTAAATCAGCCTATACTATACTGACGCTGAAAATCAGGCTACAAGGAAGATGGCCCACCTGGCCTGCTTCACTGGTACGTATTGCGCCACTTTTTTGTAAAAAAACTTCGTTTTTTATTTTCTTATACGGCAACACTGTCACCGCCCCCACCCACAGTCATATACTGACGCTGGTGAATTTTGATTTCTTTATGGCAACACTGGTGTAGATTCTGGCATGATTCCCTAAACTTGAAACTAAATTAAGAATGACAAGGATACATTGTTGTCAAATTTAAGTTCACTTTTAGAGAAACATGCTTGAATCGACACCACTGAGCACGAAGTATTTGAAAACCTTCGGCGGTCAGAAGTAACAAAATGAAATCTTTAGCTGTTGCCAAAGCAATCCCGATAGGCGGTAGGTGAAAGTCGTAAACACAGCTTTTTTGATTAAATATTCGCGTTTTTTATTCCCGCAAATGGCCCGCACGTCTACTGACGCTGACGATCAGACCGCACCTGGTTTGCTTCGCTTCTGTAAAACTCACTTTCTTCGTACCCAAAATGTACTTTAGAATTTCAGAAGTAAGTATTTCTCAAGAACAGTCTTGTGTGACCCAATGTTATTGTTTTCTACACTTAAAGCCTTTTACACTGGCGATTCCAGAGTATCACTCCTGACGTTGGCTAGCCTTACCCAATCTGCTATTAAAAATCGAAACGAAATTTTACTAGAGAAAATTCCATCCAGATCCAGGCATCAAAAGTCCAAGCATTTTGACAGCTCTGTAATCGTGTCGCAAAGTTTCTATGAAAACTAACTGGACGTAAGAACAAACTGGTATACAAAATTTGACTATGACGATGCAATTACGGAGCTGTCAAAATTCGTGTTTGGGCCTCAGATAGGATCTATATGCTACTCCTAAAACGTATGTAAAATGTTAACTTCACGTGTTAAACGCATAGAGGTATAAGAATAGAGTGGGGAAGGCGGCTCTAAAAGTGTCCGTCTATTAGAAAGAGAAAGAAGATGAGAGACGGCTAGCTATCTCTCTCTCTCTTGAGACGCATGCACAGTCGTCTGTCCAATGGTTGGTCCAAGCATCACATCGAAATAGTAAGATACTTACGGTTGCCATTGCGCATGCGCGATTAGAGAGAGAAAGCTAGCGGTCTCTCATCTTCTTTCTCTTTCTATTAGAGAGATACTTCCACTTGTAGTAGAGTCTATATCTTCCCTACTCTATTCCTTTTCCTCTATGGTTAAACGACGATGTTTTTTTCCAGGCGGTATGTTCGCGTTGGCATCTACCACTTTGGAGAACTCTTTATCGGCGCGTTATATGGCGGCGGCGAAAAACCTCACACACACCTGCCACGAAAGTTACGCGCTTTCTGAGACCAAGCTGGGGCCCGAGGCGTTCCGGTGAGTGCTCTCTGTTTGCTGCGATCCAAATATGTCTATAAATATTTATTTTATGTCTTATTTTGTTGCTGTGTTTGTGCTTTTTTATTTTTTAGTTTTGTAATAATAATTGGTAGTATTGTAACTGCTCTATTGTATTAAGTAATACCTGTCTGTAATGACAGATGTAAGTGGGTATAAAAAAATATATAAATGGCGGCTGTGAAGTTAACAGCGAGCGCAACTATGCACGGGCCAACGATTTAGAAATAATATGGAATACGAACTTCGCTACAAAGTGGTTCTACGCAAACTGCGATCAAGTGGGCGGGTCGATCAACACGCTGATCATGGAATTGGTTGAGATTTCCGTTTAACGTTATCTTACTCAATGAATGGATCATCATCATCCTATTAATTTCCCCACTGCTGGGGCACAGGCCTACCCTATGGATGAAATAGGGTGATTGGGCCATGACCCACCACGCGGGCCCATTGGGGATTGGTAGGTGCTAATGACTTCTTTACTGCCTTCGAAAGCACAGTCAAGCTCGAGATAGTAAATTTTTGGTCACCCATCCACTGATGACTGACCACTGTGAAAGTTGCTTAACTTCAACGATCGCAGTCGAAAGCGCTAACTACTTGCAGCATCAAGCTCTTAAATTATTTTATATACTGCGTACATCTCGATGGCGCGGGTGATTAGCACCTGTCAATCCGCGCTGGGCCCGCGTGGTGGGTCATGGGCCAATCTCCCTATTCCATCCATAGTTAAGACCTGTGCCCCAGCAGCGGGGACATTAATAGGCTAATGATGACTGCATACATAAAAGTTTAAAACAATAATACCCTATGAAGCTACCTTTCTTATGATATAATATTTATGTTCAGATTCAATGGTCCCGTGGAAGCTCGAGGAATGAAGGCTGCCGAGAAAGTGTACTTGCTGAGACCTGAAACCTTCGAGAGTTACTTCATCATGTGGAGACTCACCAAGGATCAGAAGTACCGCGATTGGGGCTGGGAGGCCGTGCAGGTAGAGTGCGATTCAAACTTTAACGTGACGTCAAATGGTTCTAGCGCGCTAAGTAACGCTGCCAGTATTTTCGGAACCTTGCCTAAAGGGACTCCTTTTAATAACATATTTTAGCTACTATATTATATTTTTAAGGTTTTTGGTTTTAGGTTCATTGTTCTAATATTTTTTTTTGTGTGTAATTATTATGTTTACTTAGGTTAAAATTTTATTTGTTACTTCGTAAGTTTCTGTCAATTGAACAACAGTGTTAAATCAATTTGAGTTTCTGCAAAGAAAATAGTCGAATCGCGCTAAGTCGTCATGGTCAGACTAGCGTTATTTATTTAGGCGGCTGATGCTTCTCCCACACCTAAGTTTTGGGGTAGGCTTGGTACTAAGGTTAAGGTCCACTAGCAGCAATTTTGCTTAACCTCAATTTAGCTTAAACTAGATTTAGCTCATACAATAATGTCAAATTGACGTTTTAAATTAATAAATAAACATTTCCAACACTCACACCAATTAGCCTAGCCCCAAAGTAAGCACTATAAGGCTTGTGTTTTGGGATATTAGGGTAACGGACAGAATACATTTGATGTACATATATAAGTATATTTTTATAGCAATTTCAACCCGGGGCCTCTCGATTTGGCGTCTTCAAATGTCTACCTAATTTTATTCAAGAATGAATGTCTCTTGAACGGAAAAAGGGAGACATCTGATATTTATTTAAGGTCCCAGATAGATGGACAGCGTAAGCATAACGTAGGTTGAGCTGCCTTAATATTGATTTAATTAGAATATTGATTTTTTAATTTCCATCAAAAATCATTATTCTGACGATGCAGACTTGAAAAGGCTGCGAAACGTCAATAAATAAATAAAGTTCGCGCATTAACCCGTTAAAATTAGTTTTATTTAATGGCACTAATGTCAAAATTTTATTTGTCTGTAGGCACTTGAGAAACACTGCCGCGTAGAGGGCGGGTACACGGGCCTCAGGAATGTGTACAGCGAAGACCCACAAAAAGACGATGTCCAACAGAGTTTTTTCCTCGCGGAAACGCTAAAGGTAAACACTTTTTGATGTGTAACAGCTTTCCTCTCGCTTTCCTGCAATTCGTGAGAGTGATTTCGTGAAATGGGACGGAAGTGTCTAACAGGAAGTTGCGAAAGCGCGCACTATTTGATTTGATTTAAGAACATAATGTTCAAATGGCTTATTCCTTTTGTAGTAGGTTTTATTTCTTTTTTTACTAATATAAGGTGAGGTTTCTAATGTTATACATTATACGCGACTTCTGTGAGGCTCGCTCGTTTTTTTTTTACGAGATAAAGACTTTTTTTAACAAAAATAAAAACCTATTCATAAAAACAGAACCGCTAAAAATTTAGAAATAATATATTACTGTACTTAAGTCTTAAGCACCTTTAAAGTCAAAATTAAATCAGAGAGTAAGTAAGTATTAAAACAAAATTTCCTTCAAATGCGTTAAATTGTAATTAACAAATATCTAATCAATATACCTGTTGAAGAAACGACATTTTACATATTATAAGTATTTATTTCGCATTTTTTCAAGGAGCTCAGCGGCATGTTGACTTTTCAACGGTCCGCGCGTGACTGTGAACCAAGAAGTGCTTGAGTCGTATTCAAGCACTTCTTGATAGGGACACATTTTTAGCACACGTGGTGTATCTAGGGTATTTAATATCGTTGGCTTTAATACTTAAATTATAATCAGTTGCATACACTACTCATAGGAACAATTGAAATTAAAAAAAGTAACACAAAAGTATTTTGCAAAACTTTTCTGTAATCCCAAAAACAAAACATTAACAATTTAAATTAAAATTCGAAAGCGTGAGCCTCTTTTTATACATTCAGCCTAATCATCATCATCAACATTCAGCCTAATATCATAGCCTAATTAAATAAATTAAAGTATAATTTAATGAGTAAAAAGTTATTTTACGATACAGCTAGCCGAACTGTAATGAGTTTTATTTTTGATTGAAATGAAATGAAAAGTCATTTATTCAGTCTAGGCTGTTACAAGCACTTGTGAAGGTCGAGAAGCTACGCCAATTTTTTGTGTATGCGCGTATTTTGTATGCACGTGCGTTTATAAAGTACGTCTTTATAAAACTGTCTTTTATTTCGTCATTCGAATATATCGACATGATTGTAGATAAAATGCACTATTTCTTAATTTTTAGTGGTTCGGTTTTTACCAAGTCGGTTTTTGTAAGTTTGTTGAATAGTTTTTTTATTTATCACTTTTTATAAGCCAGAGCAACATTGATTTACTAAATATAGATGTCTGGCCTGCAATCCCTCTTTAAAATTTTGTAAAAAAAACGATGTTTGTACTGTTCGTATTTGTAGAGTTCCGTTATTTACTCCGGAAGTATTTATCAGATCTTCACTGAATTAATATGGGTCATCTCGCTAACAAACTCTTCCAAACCATAAATAATCATTAAAACCGGTCCACAATCTCGGAGATATGCGCGAACAACGATAGAAAATATATATAGTACAGTCAATCTGTAGGTTGAGTGGTGAAAAAAAAACCTAAAGGGTAAGTCTTGTTTTTTCTGTTGCCAAATGACGTCAGTAAGCCACCTTGACGATGGGCATGTCCAACTCGTAGGCGTTTTTTGAAAAACTCAAAAAAACTGTCAAAAATTTTTTGAAACGCTTTTTTCTTGTTTTGTATGCATTTGAGAAACTTTTTTTTCGACCATAATTGTAGAGGGCGTTGAGCGCTACAATTTATGTCATTGTTGCAATCTCGTACAACAAAAAATGCGCATTGTAGGTGGCGCTAAAGTCTCAAAAAAAGTGTTTTTTCACTTTTTCACCCTGAAAATATCATTTTAATATAAAACTTTAAATTGCAAAGTTGTTTCGTACATAATTACCAACAACTTTTGTAAAAACAATTTTTTTGTATTACTTACCGTTTTCAAGTTATAAATTGCGCAGAAGTATGAAAATTCCAATAGAGCTGTTTTGGGCAGTTCAAGTACACATTTGCAGTGCACATTTCAATGTACGTTTTTACTATTTTTTTTTTCAATCATGAAAAAAAATAAAAATATTTTTTTTTCTTTTTTTTTTCTTTTTCAATCACGAAAAAAAAGCTTCTAAAATGCATACAAAACAAGAAAAAAGCGTTTCAAAAAATTTTTGACAGATTTTTTGAGTTTTTCAAAAAACGCCTACGAGTTGAACATGCCCATCGCCAAGGTGGCTTACTGACGTCATTTGGCAACAGAAAAAACAAGACTTACCCTTTAGGTTTTTTTTTCACTGAAACGATATTTTTTTCGACAGATTGACTGTACTAATAATGACGAATTGAAAACCACCTCCTTTTGGAATGGGTTAAAATCTCTCCTGATCGTAAGCAATTACCATACTCTATAGACGCTTGCGATACAAAAAATATCATTCGCGCCGTCGCCTTCATCAACAGAGCCTACGTTAGTCCACTGCTAGACATAGGCCTCTCCAATTGCAAGTCACTGAGGTCGATTTTGGGCTACTCGCATCCAGCTCCTGCCAGCCACTTTACGCAAATCGTTATCGTCCCTCCACTGTGCCTGAGGACGTCCTACACTACGTTTGCCTAATCGCGGTCTCCACTCCAGAACTCGTCTACCCCAACGGTTATCGGTTCTTCGGCAAATATGGCCAGCCCACTGCCACTTCAACTTGCTAATTCGATAGGCTATGTCGATAACTCTGGTTCTCTGTCGGATCACCTCATTTCTGATGCGATCCTTCAGAGAAACGCCGAGCTTGGCTTTTCCATAGCGCGCTAGGCGACTTTGACGCCGTCGCCTACCCTGACTCAATCCCCTGCCCCGACTCAATCCCCTGCCCCTTGAGAACCTGGAACCCCTCACTCACCGACAAAACCACAACACCCCCAAAAAGCAGTGTTATTTTTCTGTCTGTTTTCTGTAAGATGGAGTTTACTATTCAAGACGGATAATATTGTTTTCTTTTCTATAACTACACCCCATCGAACTTTTTGAGCATAAATTATGGTCAATGGAGCCTGCGTAGTAGCAATTGTGAATACAAAAGCTGCGCAAGTTTTTTTGTCTATAATTTACTCAAGAAGTTTTCTAGCTATTTATCCATGCCTATTGTCGATTGACTAAAGTGTAGAACGTTATTTAACAACTGACCCAATACCCGACCCTGTGGAGCCACGAGAACTTCCAATATCCCACCGTATAAATTCCGTTGGGGTGAAATATCATAAAAACAGTTAGGAAAAGGCTGTGTGGACAGAGTTTCCTTTGCCTTTCCATAATAATTCAAGAGTGATTTGAAAATATGTAAATAACGGACACCAACAAAGAATTCTGTTTACTTTAAAAACGATACTGATGTGAGTTTTCGTAAATAAATGATTTTTTTGGTTTCCTGGCCTTCCTCCTCCTCTCTTAACAAAGTCCAGTCAAAGTGCTTATAGCGTTGTAAGTATAATATCTTGTTTTTTTTATCTTACAGTATCTGTACCTGTTATTCGCTGACGACAGTATATTATCTCTGGACGAATGGGTACTCAACACGGAAGCTCATCCGCTGCCCGTTAAGAACAAAAATCCGCTCTACCGCGCTGCAACCACAGACAACAACCAATTGTAGACACATTGTATATAGGTAAAGACCTATAATGAATGAAAACCTTCTTAAAAGGAATAGTCTTAACAAATGAAAACCTACTCCTTTTGTTGAGGAATAACTATTGAAAGTATCAAGTTTTTTTTTACATAACTAGATTTTTCTGTTCCAATCAGAAGTCAACGCATTCTGATTTATCAGCGTTCTTAGATAATAACGAAAAAAAGTTGAGGACAAAGGCTGTATGAACTTGGTATCATTTGCTTTTCTTATGGGAGAGTTTTAAAACAAATATAATTTAGCGTTGCTCACACTTTTTTCGAAACAGCCCCGAAAACAAAGGTGTATAATCCGCGGATAGTTCCACCAACCCATCTTTTCAATTAAATATTAATAATAGTCGTATACCTGTCGCCGATAGACGATAATTTTAAAGCGGCCGTAGCTCATTACTTAAATCAATCGTAGTTTAAAATTTGTCAACCGATTTCGAACTTATTCTAAACATTTTAAGATTAAATGAATTTATTTTTGTTTTGTATACGACTTTATGTTATTTTAATAAAAAAACAATAAAATCTTAGAAGATTCAAAGTTTCGTTGGAGCTTTGGAATTTTATATGTGCTTCCGTTAATTTAAATAAGTTAAAAAACTTTTTTTTATTTATTCTGAGTACAGATCCATAATTTAAACAGAAAAAAAATAGGAACATCAATCTTTTTCCATATGAAAGCATTGAATATTTTTAATTATGATTTATTAATAAAATTAAGTAAATATTATAATCTGCCATGCCAATCTGCATATCACAAGATGTACCATGAAATGTAAACATTAACAAAACAATTTCGAAACAAAAATAAATTTAATGCAGTCAGCTTAGTGAGGCTTAGAGTCTCTTCTTTACGCCAGTAATTTTTTTTATTTATAATTCTAAAAATCTTATTTGTCCTATAATCCTATTACCATATAAAAAGGCGTATTTACTAGGAAAGATCTACCTCTCAAGAAAAGATCTAACCACAATAGTACTTTAGGAAAGTTGGATTAAGTATAGTGCCGCATTAAATGAAAATCATGCGACTTAATTATGTTAATTTGTGTGGTACAAACGCCTAATATGCGTGTCATGTTTGCCAGTTATTTTAATAATTTTCATATTATCTTATATATGAAAAAGAGTTATGACTGATTAGTTCAACAATTATGTATATAAATCTCCATATTAAATAATAAAAATATCTAAATCCTACATAAAGTTTAATTAATTTAATTATTTATTACACACACAAACTTTAGTTAAACTTCAACATAAGAACACAAGTTTCCTATCAAATTAACACTATTCTAAACATTCTTCTTAACATTATCCCCTCTACCTTTGAATATATCAGTATACTATATATAATATTCTTAAAAATAGTGAAATTAATATGATATTTGTAACCCTTTAAACCAATTTTTTACTGTTTTTACTTATATTTAAGTATAAACTTGAAACCATTTTAAAGTATATGTAAAAAATTACGTGATCACAGAAAACCGTTGGTGGGTCTATGACCATATTCATGCAAGAACATTGTGTACGCTGTCACTATTCTTCCAAATTTTTGCCTCTGTCGATCTAACCACACAATGTCATTTGACATTTTGCATTAACAAAATACTATTTCCAGCTTATTTTATGGCAAATGTTAGTTATCTCAGGCATTCGTTAGGGCCTTCCTCATACTATTGAAAAAAAGTATGCATCTATTCAAATCAGTTTTCTCTCTAGTTCATTATGATTTATTTTATACCTAGTTTATTTATTTAATTATGATTTATGTTTCATTGTGACGAATATAAACATTTTGTTTATACTTTACGAATGAACGTTTGGTTTGTAGGATAAATTAGTTCCATTTTTATTTCTTGTACGTAATATTTTATTTTTCTCACTTTCGCTATGTTGAGTTAAAGATTGCTGTAAATATTATTGCTCAAGTCAATTAGAGACAGTAAGGAACTGTCAACGAAAACTATGAATAGTAAATACAAACAACCTTGTTATCGTATAGTTCTACTTTATTGTAATAAAGGCATGGTGTATACTCGTACGAAACTTAGGGAAACTTTATATCTGGTTTTAATCGTTTTTAATAAAGAACCAAAGGCTCAGTACATACGACCAATCGATGTAGACTTTACATGGCGTTATAACGTAACACTAAATGCACGAATGTAAGTTTCTTCTCTATATTAAGGGAGACTATAAAGTTGAGTCGCACTTTTTTATTTTACGAAATTTGTTTATTTCTATGCCTTCTGCCACTATCGTAGGTATGTAGACTACCTTCGTAAGGCTTACATACATTGATCTGGGTGTCGTCACTTTTAAACGTCCTTATTTCAATGGGGAATAAGGTCTATATTATACACGATTTGTTCACACGCGGTTTTATCTCTCACGGTTTCTGATTTCTTAACACAACTACTTTATTTACTTATCTTAAGAATAGACCAATGTGTAATGATGTTTTACTATCTTATTGATGCAGCAGAGACCTTTACAGAGACTTTTTCTTTTTTCCTATATTCAGCTGCATCCCAATAATAATTTCTTTCTTTCATACCCATATAACAAAATTGACAAAATTAATGAAAAATCTATAAATATTATAATAATGTATCAATACTAAAATTATCTAAATAATCAATTAGGACTATCTGAACGTTTATTTCAGACTGACATTCCCAAAACGATGTAATTTAGTCTAATGCTTAAAAAATACATTGTCCACGTCATCGTGGATGTTACGGAGAATGGAGTTCCCACTTTCACGGAGCCTTTCCCAAAACGAAGCGCACCGCGATCCGAACATACAAAAAATATCTTCATTGTTTTCAAATTTGCTTCAGCAAAAATTTCCTTCCCACTACAATATCGCGGTTGTTTCAGCAGAATGCGAAAGTTGACATGTATAAAACCTTTGGCAGTACGCTTTAAACAACATTTTCTTGACGTCTCTCGAACATTCACCGAACCGCCTTGCGAGCATATTGCACCTTACCGTAAGAGCCCTTCTCTCCCTCTCCATATCGTCCTCATCGTTGAGTTGAATATATGATCTAGATATCTGAACCTAGTTACAATCCGCATTGGCAAACCATACAGCTACGCCGGCGGAAAGTTTACCGGACCTATTCCGTTCCGAAAAACAACGACTTCAGTTTTAGCAACATTAAATTTCAATCCATGTTCCCCAGCATAGGACTCACATATTGAAAGCAGCGTTCGAAGTCCATTAATCGAGAAACTCGGAAGAAACATGTCGTCAGCGTACCTCAGGTTGTGAACACATACGATACCATCATGGCAGCCACTGCCAGATTTAGGGGAGGGCAACCGGGGCGAAAGCCCCGGGGCCTCCACAAACGGGGGGCACCCTCAATAGAGACTTCGAAAAAAATATCTTTCGAATTCAAACTAGTAAACATCTTTTCCTTTGATATTTTTTTTGCTCTTTTACCTTTACCTACAGCCTATTTGATATTATTAATCTCAGGGCCGAATTAAAGGCAGGGCAGGGGAGGCTGTGGCCCAGAGGCCTCCACAACAGCTTAAGAAATAACAAAATTTCGATGGGTCAACAAGCATGCAAATCCTAAGTGGCCCGGGGCCTCCACAACAGGATAAAAGATAACAAAATTTCGATGGGTTAACAAGCATACAAATCCTAAGTGGCCCGGGGCCTCCACAATCCTAAATCCGGCCCTGATGGCAGCCAACCCTGGCTCCTATGAGTCTCTCGATTTCCAACTCCAACAAATTAAAAAGGTCCGGAGACGTCAATCCTCCTTGAAGAACACCGTAGTCTAATCTAAACTTATTAGATGTCGCGTCGCCCTATCTTACAATATTATTTTGGTACCGTACCAGGTTTCGATCCTAATACTAAGATCTTTTTCGCACTAGCGTTCCTTTAACGCGTGTTGAATATGTTGATATTAAACTAATATAAGCCTTTCTATTCATTCGCAAAGCGAATTTCTTTTTATTGAGCATCATTGTATTTTAAATTCTAAGTGTTACACGTAAAGTTCAAAATGCAAGACTACAGCGTTTTGAAATCTCTAACGTAGGGATTTTAACGATCTTAATAAAAGCGCTCACTCGAACGTGGTCTAACAGATGACAATAGTGAAATAAACATACACAATACTTTAACCGTCGTATTTATAATCAAGAAAACAACATTTGTAATTTGATATTTTAGAAATTCATCAAAGTAAAAATTGCCAAAAATGAGAATACTAATAACCAAGAAATACTAAGTCACTGTATTCATTGCTTTAGCAACCTTTTGTTTCTTTGAAGAATTTTACACTCGTATTTATGTTTATAAACATACTTGTTTAAGTATAAGTAATTAATTGCCTTTTTGAAAATTAAACAAGATATTATTTGACGCTAGAATTTTTCAATAAAACAAATGGTTACTTAGCAACGAAAATGGTGACTATTACTTGCTTATAACAATTCTTACTTTGATCGATTCTCAAGATGAAATGAAAAATGTTGCTCAAATCGTTACTTTAGCAGAAGTTATGTCTTACAAGTCAGGTAATCACTTGGTTACTTAGCAAAAAAACAAAACTTGTTCATAAATAGTGCGAGTGTGCGAGAATAAGTGCGTTTCGTAGTTAGATTGTATTGAAAATACCAATAGATAATATTTTTTTAATTTAAAACATCCAATTGAACTGATACAAATCCAAACTGTCGAAAATTGAAGTATAGTTACTACACGCCACTTAATTGAGTTATGCAATTATACAACTTATTTTATGTGTCGAGACAATTTAAAGTGTTGTAAAATCATAAACAAAGGGAAACTGACATTATAAAGGAAAACCTGAATAAAAACTGTGGCAACGTGACGATTCGACACGTTTGTAGTGTCATTAGTTAAACTTATTTATAGCGGGCTCGAGTATGTTGCATACTGCTCTTTATTCTCTTTTCTAAGCTTAAAAGTCAAAACCCACAAATTTAGGAAACTACTGGCAGATGAAACATTTCAACTTTTATTTTTATTTTTAGATGATAGTCGCTTGATCTTTTATCTCGACAATTCATACAGTTTACAAGGGTAAACTTGATACGACTTGATTCGCTTGATCTCGATAAAGGTATCGAGATCAAGCGAATCAAGTCGTATCGAAAACTTGACATACAACTAAGTTCCCCTATTTATGAGCGATATCGACAAATGCCTCCTGTAACTAACCCTTCAAAACCTAGATACATCAGCCCCCAACGCCACCACTAAATTGCAGTTGACAGTCAATGTCGATAAATCGCTTTATCACAACGCGTTTTTAAGGTCGTGCTAGTGGGGGGCTTGTACAAAATTTAGAACAAGTGGAAATAGAAATGAGAAAGTAAAATACCATATTTTACGTATCGGGAAGTTTCTTTTTCGCACTCATGTAGAAAAAGGGATGAAATTTTAAATATAGGTAGTGTGCAACAGATTCGCAAGCCCTATAATGATGTGAAGAAATTTAATATAAATTATTACATATGTTATTTTTTTATTTATTTATTATAATATAATGTTCCATTCATTTCGAATGGATAGTAAATATGTTTGTTCGTTTTACTTTCAGATCTCGTATAGATAATTTGAAGTCTTCAGTGTTGAAAAAATATTGTAAAATAATAATTTTGTTTATAGCAAACATATCTTAACGTCGTAGTATGTGTAAAGGCGTTAGTGTAGTTTACTATGAATACTTAGAAACGAGAGTCGAAGCGAATGTTGCAGGCCTAATACTAGGGAAGTAGGCATTGCCCTTTTTATAACCATTTGTTGATTGTTTGTTGGAAACTAACTGAAATACGGAAAGTGTGTTAAGCAAAACAATTAATACAGAACGCAACATCACGATGAGGGCTGGCACTGATGAACGCTGCGATTGCACGCGGCGTAGTTTTTTTTATTTTGATCATATTATTTTGAACCTTCTGTTAAAGGGTTTAGAATTCATACTATACTCTTTCGATACACCGAGTTATCGTTTCATGCCACGTTCATTCCACGAGAGGCCGCGGCGCTTCTCACATCCCGAGGGAGACGCATAGTTCACATCTTATCGTCAAAGGAATATGACTGTTAAACTAACTGAATTAAGGTTGAAACTAGTGTGGCAGTAACTTCAGCGGACGATAGTGTGGCAGGGCTTCTTGACGGATGCTATGATGTGATATACAACATTCTTCGAGCTGCCGAAATCGTGCCACGTAAGTCAGCGTCAGCCCTTCACACAATTTTGTTCAAACTAATAGTCTCAATCGAATTATAAATTCGACACCTTCCCGATTTCTGATTAGTTATAAAGCCATTACGCTTTGTGTGCATGTGATTTATTATAAAGTTACATAATATTTTTTTAATTTAATTAATGCACCTGTTAACAAAGCATTTAAAATAAATATTTTTAAATTATATTAATGTTTCGTTCTATAATTTCAATCTATCGCTCTTCAATTACAGTAAATTCGCAACAGATGTGAAACTCGGAGAAGATTAGACGAGTTTAGTTAGAAAACTGTAAATTTGTATATAAATATAGTGATAGATTGTACTGTAATGCGTTGTAGTTTATAGATACTTTTGTGTGTAGGGTATTGTTAATTTTTAATTTTAAGAGAAGCGAGAATGGCTAACCGTCGTATTTATAAATATATATAAGTATAAGACATTACTTTTGCTTGGGTAATGCCTTGAGCAACATGTTTCATTTCATGCATAGCTCAAGTTATAACCAAGTAACAGTCATAATTTTCGTTGCTAAGTAACCTTTTGTTTTATGACTTGGTCACTTAGTAACAAAGTAATTACTTATCAATGTCTTTTACTTGTTTGTAAATAGGACGGTATGTCGAATGTATGTATGTATTGATTTTAATTAAAATACTGCCATGTCGAGCGTCAACGGTTCGAAAACTCGTTCGCATTTTAAAATTTATAACGTTCTAAATTTTGTTTTCCTAAAACAAGGACGATCGGCAAATAGTACCAAACATAAACAGTATAGGCACTCTGTTTTATAGTTGCCTTAGAAAATCCATTCAGAAAAAGCAACCGCATCCCCTGCGCCGCTGCAAATGAATATTGATTTCATTTATCTACAAATGAAAGTAAAGGAGACCTCCTTCGAGACTCTTGGATTCAATTATATTGAAAATTAATGCATAATATTGAAAATGTAATGTTTAAATGTGTCTATGTTAATCAATGAATATACATGTCACTTATGACCATTTTGGATAAGAAAATAATTGTATTATAAATATTTTAATGTTTTCATTAACCCATACAAAATGTTCACGCTTTTTTATACTTAATAAACAATAGAAATGATATTAATTGAAACGAAACGTATAACTCAAACTAATCCTGAGGTGTTACTAGGCATACAACCTGCCATGTAATTTATTTATGTATGAAATTGTAGTATTTAAAATAATAAGTAATGTACATTTTTCGTTTATTAATAAAAACATGTTTACAAAACAAAGTGTTTTCTTGTACACATGTAACAACAGATGGCGCTGATTTCCAACACACACCAATTAGCCTAGCCCCAAAATAAGCACCATAAGGCTTGTGTTATGGGATGCTAGGGTAACGGATAGAATACACATACTGTACATATATAAGTATATTTGTATAGAAATAGATATTAAACATCCATGATGCCGGGTCTCCACCAAAGCAGAGGTGTGTGCGGTGTGCTGTGTCCTGTGCGAGAAATGATATTTTTCAGCTCGGGGGACTACACCAAAGCGGAGATGTGTGCTATGCGAGATGTTTTTCAGTTCGGCTAAGAGACGTTGAGTGCTCAGCGGCGCTCTGCGGGTTGCTGGCGGGCGAGAGGGGGTGACACCGCTCACATCTCTCGTCTTCACTGCGCGTCGTCCGCGCACAGCTCACATCTCCGCTTCCATAGAGCCATACAAATATTACACATCTCCGCACAGCGACCTCCACTGAAGCTGAGCGGAGAGAAGTGTCAATAACACAATTCTATTGGTTGTTTAAAATATATCTTTTCTCCGCTCGTCTCGTCTTCGCTTTGGTGGAGTCCCAGCCTGACTGGAGTACAAATGCTCGTATTCATCACACAAACATCTGCCCCCACCGGGATTCGAACCGGCGACACCATGAAACCCGGTGTACAAACCAGTCGCCCACGGAGGTCGTCACGGAGTTATGTTTAGGTTTTAGGTATATAACTTTCTTGGCTGACTGTTAATAATAAAACTCAAAATACACGTGAAAAATATGTGAGAGATAGGTGTCAACCAAAGATAAATAACTTGATGGAAACAACCTCAGAATGTGATATGTAAAAGTGATTGAGATACTCTATGGCACAAGCAAGATGGCGGACAGACGCATATTGTACAACAGTTAGAAGTTTAATAAAAGTGAAATACGATAAGAAAACAGTTTTACTTTATGAAAGTGTTCCTTGATCAGATTACACAGAAATAGGTTAGAAGGGTCTTGTCGGTGGGGCAGACTCGCCACAGTTATATGTGAGCAAATGCTCATACTTGACCAAAACTTGGTTCTGATTGCGTCGTTGCTCTCGGGTGTGAGCGCTAATT